CATTTGCCCTTGAGAAAAACTTGAAATTTTCTTTGTTGCTCATTTGTAGCACACACTCTTAAAATACAGATGGTTTTTGGAAGAGAGCAAAAAAGGGACAGATATGTACATTTTAATTTTATTTTTTAATCTATGTCAAAATATTTTTATTATTCCAAAAAAAAACCCACAAATCTTTTTTCACTGTAAAAGACTTAAGCTATTAAATGAGTGTAGTAGAGTAAAACCTGAAAGCCCAAAACTGATTCTCCCCACTTCCTCCCATCTCCTCTTCAACTCTTATAAACCATTTTGACAGTTTGGAGTGTGTCCTGACAATCATGCTTCTTTTCATTTTCATGAATACAAGACTTAATATAAATAGCTACCCAATTTTATGACAAAAATTGTATCACAGCATGTGTATTTTTTCACAATTTATTTTTATTTTTTATTTAAAAATGCTATTTGAGAAGTGCTCCTACCAAGATATATACCTGCAAAGAACTTTACAGGATGGTCATATAATAATGTAACTTTCTCACCTATTAATAATATTTAAAGTTGCTACTTCTTCTCTAATTTGTAATACCAGAATTTCTCTCTCTCACACACACACATATATGTTTCTTACAGATTACTAGAAGTGGAATTGCTTGGTCAAAGGATACACCTATTTTATATTTTTATAGATATTGAAAAATTTCATTCAAAATGGCTCTAAAAATCTACACTGTCAGCAAGAAGGTAAGGGAAACCTATTTTCCTACATCTTGGCTAACATTATTATCAGTCTTTTTTAGATTTTAGATAATTTGAAAGTACTTTGCTTGTATTTTAATTTGCATTTTTGTGATTGCTAGTGCAGGTGAACAACTTTCCCTCTGTGTTTGCTCTTTGGCTCTTTGTAACTCCGCTTTTGTAGCATGTTAAATAATATCATTTAAGCAGTTCCTAATAGATTGTCTTTTTCTTATTTGCAAAATNCATGTTAAATAATATCATTTAAGCAGTTCCTAATAGATTGTCTTTTTCTTATTTGCAAAATCTCTACATTCTTTTAGTAAAATTTACTAATTTAGTAAAATTTACTACATTCTTTTAGTAGTATGTATATTACTTTGCCTATTATGTGTATTGCATGGACTTTCTCCAAATATATCTTTAAAATGTGTTTATTCAACTTCTATCAGGAATATTTTTATTTTTATTTTTATTTTTACTTTTATATTACTAAACTTAAGCCTTCTGAGGTACACTTTTCCCATCCCAAGTGGATAAATCTAAATTCTAACATTTTCTTCCAATCAAGAGTATTCATTTAGTCAGCCTGAACTGACAGGGACTTGGGAACTCTGCTAGGGGTTTAGATATTAGACAAGGGAGGTGAGACTCTTGGTTTAAATGATTAAATCTCCACAATTCTGCATTTCACCTGTAAAAATGTTGCTGTATATGGTTTAAAAAACAAAGAATTTGGGGGGTTTTTCACTCATGGTTAACAAAAATAGCCTTACTGTTTGTTATGGGTTGAATCATGTCACTCATACATACACACACACACACACACACACACACACACACTAAGTTAGGTGTGTTAACTAGCTATCATAACTAGCTGTCATACCTTAGTAGTTGCATGCGATTTGGTCAACAAATTCATCCAGTGGTTCATTGGCTGTTGCTACTGGTTATGCAAAAGAAGTGCATGTTTACAGAAGTTATCTTGAAACACTGTTTTATTCAACCAAGTAATTCTAGCTATAGGATAACAGGTATCAAGAGATGGTGCACATAATTTGGAGGCAGTTGGTGGGTGAAGGAGAGGGTTGTTTGGTCCTGAAATATTCCTTAAAATAGCTTGCAATTGCCTAAGAGTATGACACCAAAAGAGGAAGTCTCCAAAAAGACTAGCTGTTATGGACTGAATTGTGCCCTTCTCCCCAAATTCATATGTTGCAGTCCTAAACCACAGTACATCAAAATGTGACCTTATTTGAAGATAGGATCTTTACAGAGGTAATCAAGTAAAGATGAAGTCACTAGTGTGGACCCTAATCTGATATAACAAACGTCCTTATGAAAAGGGGAAATTTGGA